ATATAGTGCTCTGTGAACCCAAATTAGTTAGCATAAATCAGTTAAATGACGAAAAATTAGGTGTCTATTTACTTATGACCACTCAGTGTAGTTTCGATTTGTAACTGTTTTTACACTATACTTTATTCATGTGTTGTTTATTATATTTTGAACTATTCAAACCCTCGGTCTTGGTGAAACATATATTTTCTACGTTTAGCGCAGCAAATTTTAGATGAATACATAGAATTAAGAAGAAGAGAAAGTTTTATACGGTACCAATCTATGGTACATTCAGATAAGAATTTTTTTGAAATTAGTTTAATTTTTAGCGCTTGTAATTTCACGTTTAGTTCAGTTACAAAGCACGCAAGACTAATCAGTCTCAAAATACAGAATAATTAAATATATATATATATATATATTTTAGTTACACTAACAATAACATTTTGCAAAATAAAAAACTAAAACTCGTAAATAATTCGTAGTTTCGAGAATAAAAGACGTAGATTTCACACAAAAAAATCTGCCTGGATGCATATTCGTTTGACATCAATGTTATTCCCTTTTCTTCAGTTTGTTTGTATTTTAGTTAACAATAAAAATAATAATAAATGTGCATTGTGATAAACGATAAAATAATTTTATCTAAGTAACAATTATTTTTCTCCTCGATTTGTAAAAAATCCTTACGTGATAAAAAATATAAAATAAATATTTATTTTCAAAATCTGCGTAACTGAATTATGGAAAATCCGTTACTAAAAACAAAAAAAAACAACTCTAAGTTTAAATTCGCAGGCCTGTGTAATTAGTTATTAGGCTTTTGGATAAAACACAAGTGCGTCGTGGATACGAAACCATTTGAGTGCTCCAATCTTGAATTTCACATTTTAGAAAATGTACAAATTAGACTAAACTTTAAACATGCTCCAAAATTTTATGTCAAGCGAAGAAACAAGTTCCATGCCAACAACCTTTGTTAAAAAAAAAAATGTCTTTTATTGCGTTTGCTTTTCTTTAATAATTAATTAATTAAATAATTAATAGGATATTTTGCAAAACTTTTTTGACGTAGAAACTCTCGCTGCTGATATTTTTAAGTCTAGAAAAACTATTCTGAAAACAAAAGAAAAATCCACCTGGCGATAAAAATTTGTAGCTGAATTTAGGACATGAAAAATAATATCATGGAAAATGGTTAATAATGTATCACCTTACTTTTTATTCCATAACAGCTAACGATGAAACCTGGAGACAACCTGCTTGGAAACACTGCTACGACTTTATAAATTACGTATGTTGATAGATGACTGCTCAAATGTGTTTATTATAGTAATTTGCTTTGCATAGAAAAATATCACACATTTAAAATGTAACGTATAATTAATAAGCTTTTTTTTACATAATTCTTCAGTCACAGTTGTTGAAATATGAAGCTGAAGAGTAACCAAAGACATTATGAAGGAACTGAAACTATTTAATTTTCTACTATTTATACGTTTACCCTCTAAACTCAACATCTGTAATCGTTATGAAAGAACCACTATAAACTGCAAACTACGTTTTCATAATGTTTACTTTTTTTGTGATCGCATAATCCAAAAATATCAATTAGCTTATAACGTAAACTTTGGTTATGTATTTTAATATAAAGTCTGTAGAACTTAGTTATTAGTTGTTGTTCTTGTTGTTATATATTTCTTCACACCATAGTTCCTGAAAATATAAGAAAAATAAAGATAATTTTTGATAACGTTCTTTGGGGACAGAAATTATATCTTTGTAAACGTAACACTTGTAACTTATGTTAAAATTTATAATAAGATTTGCTTGTTGAAATATATCAGACTCATTCATTATTGTGTAAAGGCGTGGAACAGTTTCACTGAATTTGTGATTTAGTGAAAGGGAATAAATATAAGAACTTGGTTTACTTTTAGTTGACGCATTATGACTTTTAAATGAAAAATAAATTACAAATAAAAGACGTTTCGAATCCAGATGATAATGAACTATTAAAGGAAGAGCATTGATTTTGGTTAGTGAATATCGAAGTAAAATATAATTTTAATAAGCAGAAATGATAAAATACAAGACTAATATTTCTAAAACAAAGCATAATGAATACGTTTGTAAAGTTACAATACCTTATTAGAATGTAATTCCTTCTGCTGATATGCAGTTAAACTGAAAACTATTTATATATAGTGATAAAACATACCGTATCAATATGTGTGTGTGTGTGAGAGAGAAAGTAAAAAGCTTAAGACATTTTAGTTCAGTATTAATTAGTGTAATGTACTAATGTGCTAAATTATAGATGTAATTTCATATTTTGCACCATATCTGGTCATATGCTTAGTTCTCATTCCACTATATCATCTTAATAGTCACTTTATAGAAACTATTCTAAAACTCGTTGACGCGTCCCAAGAAGAGAATCATGCCAGATCTGTTGTCTCTGATGATAAAAAGGAATTTCTGATAAATTAACAAAGATAATTGGACAAATGAGAGAAACCAGAGTTAGAGTTGGTTTACCCAAATTTAACTTAACATACGAAAAAGAATTGTCTCCTTCCTTACAGTCACTCGGATTGACCAAATTGTTTAAATCAGGACAGTCGGATTTGTCGGGTATCAGCAGTAAGAATGATCTGTTTGTTTCTGAAATTAAACATAAAGCAGTTATTGAGGTAAACGAAGAAGGAAGCGAAGCAGCTGCTGTAACTGGAGTTGTTATTGTTGTTACTTCCTTAGGTCCAACTTTTTATGCTGATCACCCTTTCAGTTGACTTTCCAGAACAGCAAGACCGTCCCTATGGTCAGGAAGAATGGCAAACATGCTAATGTCTTTTCCTTTGTAAGGCAGTTCAATCATTCTTGCTTGGAGATCCGCTACTTCTGTAAAATTGAAGTTACGTGTTAAGTGCATAAACAAAATATCCTTCCCATCCGTGCCTTTATTATAGAAAGTTCCACTTAATGTATTGCTTGAATTAAACTTGTAAAGCCAGGTACCCTTGAAGTAAACTGCGTTCAGTAAAACAAGTATCGTATCAGAGCTCAAAGGTTCATCGAAAAGTTTCGTGATTTTATGCTGGGTATTTTGATCCACCCATTCGTTAATTTCCTGGGTAGCTTTCTCACTTTCCTTTACAAAATCGGCTTCTCTTATTTCTGCTTTGTATTTCTCCTGTAACTGTGTTTTGTAAGAGTCCAGTACAGAGTAATCAATATGATTAACCATTGAATTAGCTGCAATAAGTTTGTACTGATCTTGAGACCCTTCTATTTGGTTAAGAGTGCTCTGAAAAGCTTGGTGAACTTCTTCATTGAGCAGCTGTTCCTCCTGATACCCAAGTGTAGCTTCTAGTTCTCGTGCTGTCTCTTCTCTGGCTCCGAGATACACCATACCCATTGCCGTTGAGATGCTGAAAGGTGAGATAAAAAGGTTTTCATCCTTCGGTAGTTGTTGAAACAAATCCATTGCAAAGTTGTTACTGGCTCTTGCAAGTTTCTGAATTCCATTCTGGTCCTGAACTGGTACTGCGATCACAGTAACCCAGGTCATCAAAAGAACACTTAAATACAGCATACTCATACCTACAGTTTGAAAAAAAAAGAAGTATCAGAAGATGTAAAAAATTATGATATAGTAAGAAAATATTTCAAAGTCATGCCATCACAATTTTGCTTTAATCTTAATGCCAAATCGAGTTATAAAGCCACTACATGTATTATGTTCTTTAATGACTATCTGTTACGATTTGATATATTTAATGATGATGTACCTGATGATGACAAAACCTTGTCGAAACGTTGTACATTTGCTGTTATGTTAAACTTATATTAAAG